GCCAGTGTTCCGAACCTTCATGAGGATGGTTTTCTTCCAATTCAGCTCTAGATCATACCGCTTCCCCTCATCAATGACCGCATCGAGCAAGCTCTGAAGCTTGTCAGCACAGCTGCTGGTGAGCATCGTGTCGTCCGCGTACAGCAAATCAGAACATTGACTGAAATGTGGATCCTGGACTGTCGGGTGCGCGCCCTCCATGCGCAGATCAACATCGAAGGGCATAACACTTTGTTGAACTATGATGAAAATTATGGTGACAGTGGTCAGCCTTGCGCGATGCCATCACGTTGCTGGCGCACGCCTGAATGCCCAGATGGATCTTGGAGAACGAAGTTCCGTTCGCGATAGATGCCAGCAACCATGTCCACAAAGCAATATGGTATTCCGAATATCCGCAGTGCCTGCAGCAAGACATCTTGCTTGATTATGTCGAACGCCTTCGTCCAGTCCAACAGAACTGACACTAGTCCTGGAGACTTCGAAGCATGTGCCGCCTCGAACGTGCGCTGGGCAATGGAGATCGCCTGCATGGTCTGAATCCGATTTGGGTCGATTTGAGTCTGCCTTCGGCGCCGCCTTGTTGCAGTGGACGTTGAAGCATCTTCGCGATGATCTTATAGCCAACAGGGAGTAGGGATATCGGCAAATACTTCTCCGGGAGGCTGCTGTCACCCTTCTTGAAGAGCAGCGCCACGCGTGCAGTCCTCCACTCCGCTGGTATGTCTGTGTCCTCCCAACACCTCTGAGATAATTGCAGCAAGTTTGCCATTCCATAGCTCCGGCGGGACTCCATCTATCCCCGGTGCTTTCCCGACGGCAAGAGCTCGCAGGGCGGCCGTCAGCTCGATCATGCTAAACGGAGAAGTTACTATCGGCAAAGTATCGCCAGTCTTCTGGGTTGCAGTGGGCACCGGGTCAGGATGTGTGATCTTCCATTGCCAGAGTTCGAAGTAGTCTGCCATTGCGTCTGCCCGCAAGCTGCTCTCCACCAGATGCCCTGCAGCGCTGCCTGTCTGTACTGGCTTTTCGGGTGGCCCCTTCCGGAGCCTACGCAGTGCTGCCCACGGACCTCCTACAAGCTTGTCGTCGAGCCAGCGCTGTTTGTCTAGTTTCACAGAAGCTCTGATACGTTTTGTCAGCACTGTCTCTTTCTCTGGGTTGCCCGCAGCCCTGACTTGATCTCGCTCTGTGAGTAGAGACAGGATGGAGTGGCTTACCCATGGTCTCCGAGGTTTCCTAGCCGAGGTGCTCAGCAACTCTTCCGATGCAGATTGCATGGCTGTGCGAATGGCAAGGGCATGCTGATCCAGTGTCAAAGTAGGCGCCAGAACCTCCAATGCATTGCAAAATCCTTGCTGGTAGTCCTCCATCGCGTCTCCGTCAGGAATCCGCATCTGCGCTAAGCTGCACAGGGGCATTGGGGCTGAGGTATCCAAAGATAACTGCAAGCGCAACTGCATTAGAAAGTGCCTGGTTGCCAGTGGGACTGTTCTGTCCGACCTTAAGTCCTGGATCCAATACATCGTGCTGGCATCCAACAAGCAATGATCTGTTTGCGAAAAGCCAACCTCATCTATGGCATCCATCTGATTCACCTGTGGTGAGAAGTACGTTACCAAATTCTCGTCGGGCAACTCGAAGAAGGTGTTGGCGATCACTGTATCCGTAGCCCGGCAGGTTTCCAAGAGAAGTTCCTTGTTCGTCTTCTCCTGGTCCTTCGGTCACCTGCACTTGAACAAATAGTTGCCGACGATGACGTCCTCTCCAGACTCTTGCGACAAGCTTCGTGTTGAAATCACCCATTGCGATTGTGGCGTTGTGTGTGCCTGCTGGTTGCCACGCGTTCGACAAAGCATCAAAGAACTCACGCCTCATTTCGATACTACATTGGGCATGTGGAGCGTAGCAGCAAATAACCAGAAGAGTCCCACCATGAACTTTGGGCTTCAGGGTGGCAAGCCGGTCGGATATCAGTTTGAAGCTGATGATTGTTCTTGCCGCACGTGGTGCAATTATGAAGCCGACGCCAGAATAGAAACGGCCTCCAGAATGATCCGATGAGCTTGAAAGAAGGCGAAGTCTAATATGACTCTGCGGCGAGTACCCACGATGCTGGCCCCCCAGCAGCCCTCGAAAGTGGCGACAGTTTCGCAGATCGCAGCCCCCCAGGGATGGCGAGGTCCTCAGCGCCGAGGCTCTGTCGACGGCAAGAGAGGAGAGAAGGAGGGGAGAGAGGAGGTGGGATGAGAGGAGGGGGGAAGAGAGGAGGAGGGGGCGGGAGAGGAGGTCACGACCACTTCTCAAATCGAGAACCCAACGCAGGAGGGTTGGGAAAAACAACAAAGACCCGCCCCCCCCCCCCCCAAAAAACATGATGGACCCACGAACCCGGAAAGGGATATAGACATGTGCAGCATGGTCACGTTTTCACGATATCCAACTGGGCGACACCTCACGAAACATCCCACGAGACACCCCGCGAAACATCCCAGGAGACACCTCACGAAACAACCCACGAGACACCTCACGAAACATTCCACGAGACACCCCGTGAAACATTCCACGAGACACCCCACGAACAGGCAACCACTCAACCAGACACCCCACGAAACATTCCACGGGGGTGCGACTGGGTGTGGTCGTGCTGGGGTGTGGTCGTGCTGGGGTGTGGTCGTGCTGGGGAGTGGTCGTGCTGGGGTGTGGTCGTGCTGGGGGTGGTCGTGCTGGGGGGTGGTCGTGCTGGGGGGTGGTCGTGCTGGGGCGTGGTCGTGCTGGGGCGTGGTCGTGCTGGGGTGTGGTCGTGCTGTGGTGAGGTCGTGCTGGGGTGTGGTCGTGCTGGGGTGTGGTCTTGCTGGGGTGGTCGTGCTGGGGTCGTGCTGGGGTGTGGTCGTGCTGGGGTGGTCGTGCTGGGGTGGGGTCGTGCTGGGGTGGGGTCGTGCTGGGGGGTCGTGCTGGGGTGTGGTCGTGCGTGCTAGGGTGGGGTCGTGCTGGGGTGGGGTCGTGCTGGGGTGGGGTCGTGCTGGGGTGTGGTCGTGCTGGGGTGTGGTCGTGCTGGGGCGTGGTCGTGCTGGGGTGGGGTCGTGCTGGGGTGGGGTCGTGCTGGGGTGTGGTCGTGCTGGGGTGGTCCGCACCCTGTGATTTATCGATCGGGTCGTGCTGGGGTGTGGGTCGTGCTGGGGTGTGGTCGTGCTGGGGTGTGGTCGTGCTGGGGTGTGGTCGTGCTGTGGTCGTGCTGGTCGTGCTGTGGGTGCTGGTCGTGCTGGGGCGTGGTCGTGCTGGGGCGTGGTCGTGCTGGGGCGTGGTCGTGCTGGGGTGTGGTCGTGCTGGGATGTGGTCGTGCTGAGGTGGCCCGCACCCTGTGATTTATCGATCGGGATTTCAAAAACAAGCGTTTCGCTCGAGACATCCTCAAATTTTAATCCGCCGGCCTCCTTCGACCTCGATATTTATCAGGGAAAAAATCCGCCGGCCTCCTTCAAGTTGGCACCGGGGGACAGGTTTACCCACTAAAAGAGAACCCTGGGCCCCCGCCCTTTCCGGGAAAAAACAAGCAAAAAAACGAATGGGACAAACGGGGACTAACCAACCCTCTGCACATATCAAGCGACTACACATCGGACCGCTCAATACGAAAGCCATCATTGAAGGACGTACCATACTCTGAAACGCTTCGCCAAAGAACGACATGCCACTGTCAAATGGTTCCCAATCGTGGCATCACTCTTGCGACCTGAACCATTGGGTGGAAGCGATCACGAACAGACGAAAGAAGCAGACCGACGCCGACGCGTGCAGAAACATACGGAGAAGAGAGAGCTGCACAGGAGTGACGGCGCCGCGCGCTACATTCGCAGTACAGAACAGCGCCATGCCCGCTAGTACAGAGCGCATCGCGCTGAGCGCAGCCATTCGCGAGCTCAGCACCGTCAGGAGGCAGCTGAAGAGAGGATGCGGCATGGACACGGGACAGCGCCATGCGCTGCGCGGCGCCCCGTCGCGCTGCGAGCTGCGATCTAACAGCGCCGCGCGCTATGCGACCAGACAGCGCCGCGCGCTGTTGGGAGATCCTGCCTTTACATAGATGACGGACCGCCGCCTGTACTCCGCACCCTCCGGCCGCCTGAGGCCCCGCCCGCCCGCGCCCTGTCTCCCCAATTAGTGCTTCGCGCGCCCCGCCTAGCTCTTAACCGGAAGAGGCCCGCTCTCGACCCGCCGACCAAAAATATATGACGGACCGCCGCAAGCTGCAGGCGTCGCCGCCTGCGCCTTCGAAGTCCTGCAGCGCCCCGCGCGGGTGCCGAAAGCCCGAAGGCGAGCGGCCGGGGCAAGCGGTTGCGTAAGACGTGTGGTGCGTTCCCTCAGTGGCTTCGCAGGTCACGCGGGTGCGACAAGCATTCGGTAATTTGGCCACCCCCCTTCTGTTGCCTCGCAGGTTGCATGCATCTGCCAAGGTTTTCCTGCACGCTTGTCAGTCCGTCTGTCCCGCGGACCGCACGGGCGTGGCAATTTGCGGGACATGCGCACCTCGCTTGATCATGAACGTGCTTCGCAGATTGCTCGGCTGTGGTGCATAAGCTGTCGCATGGCCACCCTCCCAGAATTTCTCCGCTTTCAATGTTTGAAGGTGTTGATCATGTTGTTGTTCCACGTTCCAGCCGTTTCACACTTCGATGAATTACAAGCTTCCTGCTTTTGAATTCCATAGCTTTCGAGCTTCTGATGATTGACGTTCGGATTTTCACCACCCACTCTCTTCTCCATCTCCTCCTCCTCCTCCTGAGCTACGTGCGCTCCTCCTCCTCCTCGTCGTCCTCTTCCTCCTCCTCCTCCCCGCCCTCCTCGGCTTTCCTGGCCTTCCCCATCCCTTCCTAAATCCCCAACGCCCATCCTATTTCTTACCGCTCACTCCTGAAGTGGCGTCCGGGCGGGCCATGGGAGTTTGCGTGCGATCGCTAGTGATCGGGGTATGATCTTCCGCGTTGCGTGAGCTGGCCAAGGTTGGCACCAGCCTGGCACGCATCCACGCGGTTGACCCAGCCACACGAAGACGGACGTCTGCGTTGTTGCTGGTGCTCGTGGCGGATCCGCCGCAGATTTCGCACGCCCCCCACGAGATTGTACTGCCGGTGTTGACAGCCAAGCGGAAGTGGCTCCCATTCCGGAACGCTGTCACCCGAGCTCTTCGGTACACCGTGAAGTCGTCGGACACGTCCATAGTAACCGTGCAGACACCCGAGCTTGCGCTCTCTGCACTGGAGGAGCGTCACATAGAGTTGCTTTTCCACGCTTGCCCCACGACGCTCACGTACAATGCTCAGGTATACCTGTTCGTCACTTCCGAAGACCGTGCAGTTCAGGAGCCCCGGCACCCGGCGTCGTCGAAAAAACGCAACGCCGTGAGAAAAAGCTCGACTGGAGCTTCCGGCCCCATCGTTGCCGCACGGTGCTTCGAGCAGGGTCGATCCGCGAGGGTCTTGGCGCGTGCGATTTTGTTCGCGACGCCTGGGTGTCCAGGAGACGAGGCAGATGATGCTCACGTACACGTGAGCGCCGCGTCCTCCCGTGGCCGTGCCTCCGCCCTGCCCTGCCCCGCGCTCCCCCCTGTACCATTGGACCCGCCCCCTGCTGCTCTGGGGAGACGCGCGGCAGCGGGCAAAAGAGCGGTCTCGGCGGTGTTGCGCAGGGCACTAGCCCGGCGGGCCTGTCCCTCTACAGGAGGAATATTCAAAGATAGTCAAAAAAAAGTGTGTGGACTATTTTTGGACTATGTTTTGCACTCTGGGAGTATTTTGGGGGTATTTTTAAATTTGTCTGCCAAAATCCCCCTGTAGGGGGACAGGCCCGACTTAAGGCTGGGCCCTTCAATCTTCTTCGTCCCACCAAGAAGATCGGGGGCGGCCAAGAGGGTGGTGATGATTATGGGGAATGCCATGGCAGGGGCCATGACATCTCACCAGGGTTCATGGCCCCCCCTTCTCCTTTCAATGCGTCCCCTTGTCCCCCCCCTCGTCCGCGCACATGCCGCGGGCCATGATTTACGACACAACCTTTTGGATGCCCCTCTCTCGGACGCCACCAGCAAGAAACATAAGATTTATGGGAAATGGTTTTTGATTTACTTGGCTCCCACGGCCTCTCTTGGGCATTGGGGTCATCAAGAAATAGTTCAGGATGACAAATAGAGGGCCCTGGGGGTATCCAGGACTCGTTTCCCTTGGAACACGCGTGGATGATGGCAATTGAATTATTTGCCTGGTCCCCCTTCGAACCTAGCTCGTTTCTCTCCTCCCCCTTCTCACCGTTCTCCTGCCCCCCTTGCTCCCTCTCCATCATCCCGCATCCCTTCGCCCTTGTCCATCTCCCTTCTCCTCCTCCACCCTCATCTCCACCTCCCTCATCCTCTCCCCTCCTCCCTCTTCCTTCGTCCTCTCTTTCTCTCTCTCTCTCTCTCTCTCTCTCTCCTCCATTTCTTTTTCATGTAGATAACTCCTCCCTGTCGCACCCCGAGGCCGGTCCAAAGGGCGGGCCAGGCGTTTTGCCTGAGATTATTTCGCAAATTATGATCCTGAAGATTCAAAAGTTGCAACAGTTTCACAGATGGAGGGCGGGTGGTGTTCAAAATGCGGTTCTCGCCTCAGCGCTGCGCACATCAATATAAAGAAATATAGTTATTCACGGGCGGAGGGTGTGTCATGTTCAAAATGTTGTTGTCGCTTGAGCGCCGTGGTCATTCGTTCTTCAAAATTGCAAGAGCTCACGGATGGAGGGCGGATCATTTTCAGAATTCGGTTCTCGCTTCAGCGCCGCGCACATCCATCTTAAAAGTTGCAAGAGATTCGCGGATGGATGGTGGCTCCTTTTCAAAATGCGGTTCTCGCTTTAGCGCGGCGCACGAAAGTTTTAAGATTTTGCAGCCGTTGTGAGGATGTGCATGATTAATGTCCCAGAAATGGTGTTTTGGCACGATGTCGGATTGACAAGGCGCAACAGCTACGTTGACTCGTGGTGTCGAAAACTCAGGAATGGCATTCTGGCACGATGCAGGACTGTCCAGACGCAACAGTAACGGTGATTCACGGCGTTGAAGTCCCAGACATGGTGTCCGTGCACAGTTCAAAATGTTCACACCGTTGTCTTCCAACGTGGTTCTTCCTTCAGTGAGAATGAACCCTGGTAGGGGTTTACGAATATGGAGGGAGGGTGCATTGCAATATCATTGATGCGTCTTGAGTTTACACTGGTCCCTCCTCATCATTCTCCTCCTGCTCCTCCTCCTCCTCCTCCTCCTCCTCCTCCTCCTCCTCCTCCTCCTCCTCCTCCTCCTCTCTGCTCATTCCTCTCAGCTTCCCTCCTGCTGACCCTCCCTACCACCTCCTCCCTCCAAATTCCTCCGCCAACGAGATTAAATCCTCCTCCCCCCCATTTGCCCTCCTCCATCTTCATAGTCATCCTCCCCTCATCCTGATCCTTGTCACCGTTTCGTCGTCAGCATCAGCAGCATCAGCATCATCAGCATCCATCTCTTCCATTCGTGCTCGCCTCTGCTCCTCCTCCTCCCCATCTGCATCCTCATCATCATCATCATCATCAGCATCATCATCATCATCATCATCATCATCAGCATCATCCTCTTACTCCTCCTCTCAATCCTCCTCCTTCTGCTCCTCCTCCTCATCGTCATCATCATCAGCCTCATCACCATCACCATCACCATCATTACCATCTTCTTGATTCGTTTTGCCGAAAGGGAAGGTCATCGTCGGCCAGTGGTTTCACGTTGGGCGCGCTCGGTTCGCAAGTGCAGGCGGCAAGCGAGAGTCATGGACCGAGGACCCTCGCCGACACTTGCCGCCCTCCAAACAAAATAAACGTCAACACTTGCATGCCCTGTCACCTTGAGGCAGGAGGCGGTAGGAGTGAGAAGCCAGGATGAGGCGGAGGGGAGGGAGGAGGGAAGAGAGCGGAGGGAGGAGGAAGGTTGGAGAGGAGAAAAAGAAGGAGGGAGAAGTGATGAGGAAGAGATGACAGAGGACGAAGGACGGAGGCAGGAAGGGAAGAAGGGAGATAATGATGAAAGAGTAGAGATGAAGGAGGAGGGAGGAGGGAGAAGGAAAGAGGAAGGTTGAGAGGGAGAAGAAAGGAGCGGCGGGAGAGGGGGTAAGGGTAAGAAGGAGGGCAAGGACTACGCAGGGAGGGGAAGAGGAGGAGGGAAGAGTTCGGAGGGAGGAGGGGGAAGGGAAGAGGAGATAGAGCAAAGGAAGGACAGGGAGGAGAAGGAGGAGGAGGAGGAGAAGAATGGGGGAAAGGATCTTGGAGGGAAGAGGAAGAAGAGGGTTGGAAGAGATGACTCCCTAAACCACCGACGCCCAGAGGGCTGGTGGGAGTATCTGCATTCTTTTGTCAAACCCGAGGCAACTCGGAGGCCAGCTGACTCGACCCATGCCTCTGTCAGCTGAAAGCGTCTGCCCCTCGGCAATGGCGACAAGAGAGACAGAGATAGAGAAGGAGAGCGAAAGAGAGAGACCGAGAGAAAAAGGAAGAGAATAAGAAATGAAAGAGAGAGAGAGCGAGAGTGAGAGCGAGAGTGAGAGCGAGAGAGAGTGAGAGAGGGTTGGCCAAGGGAGGGCCCTCTTAGAAGGCAAGGGTCTTCTCGGAAGCCCCCCTGCCCTTGAGAGGCCTTCTTTCTAAGCCACCCCCGCCGTCCGAAGAGCAGCAAACCCTGTCAGAAGGGTGCCCCCCCTCCTCCTAACTCTGACCAAAGCCCGTCAACAACTGGTCCCTGGCTGGACCCCTCCAGGGGGTCCATCCGAGGCCGTTCTTCGAGCAGCGCCCGGCCGCGACCACGAGGGCCCCCCCCCCCTGGAGGCCCAGAGAGGGACACGGACGGCCTGAGCCTCGCTCCGCCGGCTGCGCGCCCCTCCTGCTGGTCCCTCTTGTGCTCCATCCCTCTCCCTCCCCCGCGTGCTAGCATCCCCCAGGATCCCCCAGGAACCCGAGGGGGTCCTCAGGATCCCTTGAGGATCCCTGGGACTCCTTTCTCCTCCTCCTCCTCCTCCTCCTCCTCCTCCTCCTCCTCCTCCTCCCCCTCCTCCCCCTCCTCCTCCTCCCCCTCCTGGGACTCCTTTCTCTAGGAGTCCTGCGGATCTTTCGAGGGACGCGCCCCTCGGCGCGCCGCCGGAGAGCGCCCACAGCTGCAGGAGCGCGACCTCCTGTCCGAGGCCCTGAAGGGCTCGATGCAGGGCCGGCGGAGCGCCGTCCTCCTCGCGGCCAGCGCCGAGGACCGGACGCGGGGGGAGGAGGGAGGCGGGAGGAGGAGGAGGGGGAGGAGGAGGAGGAGGAGGAGGAGGAGGAGGAGGAGGAGGAGGAGGAGGAGGAGGAGGAGGAGGAGGAGGAGGAGGAGGAGGAGGAGGAGGAGGAGGAGGAGGAGGAGGAGGAGGAGGAGGAGGGGGAGGAGGAGGAGGAGGAGGAGGAGGAGGGAGGTGGAGGAGGAGGGGGAGGAGGGAGGAGAGGAGGAGGGAGGAGAGAGGAGGGAGGTGGAGGAGGAGGAGGGAGGAGGAGGGAGGGGGGAGGCGGGAAGAGGAGGAGGCGGAGGATGAGGGAGGTGGAGGAGGAGGAGGAGGGGGGAGGAGGGAGGCGGGAGGAGGGGCCAGTGCAAACCCAAGACGCATCAACGATGTTGTCATGCACCCTCCCTCCAAGCGCCCTCCTCATAGGCCCCTACGAGGGTTCATTTCCACCTAGGGAAGTGCTTCATTAGAAGACAACCGCGTGAAAATCCTGAAGCGCACCAAAACACCACTATTTGGATGTCAACGCCAGGAGTCAACCTGATTGTGGCGTCTTGACGATCCTGAATCGCTGGACAACACATTTCCTGGAAGGTGAACCATGAGAACCCGCGAAACTCTTGCAACAAGTTTTAGAACAAATGCGCGCGGCTCCAAGGCGAGCGCCACATTTTGAAAATGGACCGCCCTCGATCCGCGAAACCCTTATACAATCTTAGAACGAACGTGCGCGGCGCCAAGGCGAGAGCCACATGTTGAAAACGAGCAGCTTTCAATCCGTGAGCCTCTTGCAATTTGTTCAGACGAATGTGCGCGGCGCTGCGGCGAGAGCCACATGATGAAAACAACCCTCCCTCAATATGTTAAGCTCTTGCAACTGTTTAAAACGAGTGTGCGCGGCGCTATGGCGAGAGAGCCACATGTTGGACATGTTGGAAGCTGTCAGCCCTCCATCTGTGAAGCTGTTGCCAGTTCCTAAGCGTCAGGCTCATAAATGATAAGGACGACGTGTCACACGAATCGACTGGCCCCTTCTTCCGACTGGCCTCGGGGTGCGACAGGGAGGAGCCATTCATAAGGAAAAGGAATGTAGGGAGGCGGGAGGAGGGAGGTAGAGGAGGAGGAGGAGGAGGAGGAGGAGGAGGAGGAGGGGGGAGGGAGGAAGGAGGAGAAAGTGGAGGAGCCCAGGCATCGGGAAATGGTTACGGCTACGGTTCCACTCACGCGGACGCCCCAGGTGGGCACGGTGTCGAACGCCGC